TGTGCTGCAAGTTATGTGAGCTCCAAAAGGGACGTTGTCTTGCTTCAACATGGACTTCTTGTGGTAATACACCTGGTTAACATTGCTGGTGGTGGTATGAAAACAGCTGACGCAAGTGCAGAGGCAGCGGCTTTTTTTCTTGTTTTACTGCAGAAACTAGATTTAGAAGTTCCTCAGAATACTTAAAGTTGTGATAAATGTGATTCCATGGAAGGCCAAAGGCAAGGCCCTGCACCTAGGCTGGGGCGATGCTGGCCTAGCGTTCCAAGTACTGAGTTCATGGCAAATTTCTGAAACTTACCTGTTCTGAAGAACAGAGACTGGCAGTGGTAGCCATATCCCTAATACTTGAATTCAGAGCACCATTCTGAGACTTAGCTTAATCAATGTGTACCCTGTCAGCCCTTCATTAGGAATCATTTATAGGGTTATAAGTCTAGACTTTCTCACCCAGGGATGTGTTTCCTTTGCAGGCTATTAGTGTCCCTTGTGTCTCTCACTCTGTTGGATGGATGGTTGCTGTGCATTAGGATTGTTTCTCACCTGTACATCACCTCCTGGTGATGAACTGAATTCATGTGCCCTTTTTCAAGGCCTATGTAGTGTAAACAAGTCTTCTTCAGAGTTTTGTGAGGGAATGTAGTAGGATCACACTCCTGCTCTTGGAATTCCATCCCTGTGCCCAAGGGTGAGGCCACATGATGCCACAGGCTGCATTGCCATCTACAGTTTGGAAGTCTGGATGATTTTGTAAGTAAGTTTTGGTTGCAAGGTTTACAAACCATTTTAAGTGTTTCCCATTGTGATCAGTTTTACCTTTCCTAGACCAGCGATCACAATGCAAAATTGGGTCAAGGATTTCTTATAAAATGTTTCACAAACCTTTAAACTAAATTAGCGTGAATTAAAGACTTCCAGTGACACAGAAACATTTTATGTTTGGGGGTTTTTTTTATGATAAAGGACAGGTAAAAATGAACAAGAGGATTAATTATATTTTTACAAGATATTTGAAATGTAGCCTATAGTGAATGTGTAAGAATATGCTGTAATGCAGTAATGCATCAGAATATACCATGTGCCCCCGACACAGGTTAGAGTTTTACCACTGGAGCAGTATAACATTTATTTTGCTTTACAGAAAGCCAGTATACGTACATGTATGTACTTCATGGTGAGTGAATAACGGACTGGTTTATAGCTATAGTAAATACAGTTGGCATATTTCATAAAGAGCTTCCTAAACATGTTTACAGCCTTGAATTTCAATTTAGAATTTCTATCCAGTATGGGAAGTTTATTGAATAGAGTTAGCATATACCCAGGCCTCCTGCCCGTTCTTTAAGGTTATCTAATACTCAGTGAGAAGAACACAAAACAAATCGCAGTGGTTGAAGTGTCTTTTCACAAAGCTGCTCTTTCAAGACAAAAAAAAGATCTGTTTTAATAAAATATCTATGGAGGAATAAAAGTGTGCTCCTGGCAAGTCAGTGATACCTTCTGGTGCAAATCTGAACTGAATTCATAGTGTTTGGGATTTTCACAGGTAAAGCAAACTTAGAATCGTGTCATACGCATTGGTGTGGTTTAGTGCTCCTTGGGTTATTGCTAATATTGCTGAACTTGGGTTCAGTAGTTTGCAGGGCAGTACAGAGGGCACTGAGTTCAGGGTTAAGGATCTTTTTTTTTCTCTTAGCCCTGTGATCACAAAGTGAACTCATCATGGTAAAATTTTGTTTGTTGTCTCAGGGAGAGATTACTTTTTTAAAGAGAAATCAGGCACACTGAATCGTGTAGTAATTTTTAGGAGGTAAACAGTTTCACTGTTTTGTAGTTTGATACATGCAATTCGTGGTGCAGTGGTGTGTCCTGTGGAAATGAAGTGGTACTGCTAATGGTGGAGGTGTGAAAGCAAATATCAACCCTTGTATAGCTTGCGAGAGCTACTTTATTTCTGGAGATGCGTGAACGGAATTTGTATTGTTGAGTAAGTGTATGCTTGTGTCTCCCTGGCTTGCTTCCTTTTCAACTCAGGAGAAAAAAGTGTTCTTTTGTTGCAGAAGAGTATTTATCCTTCTAGGTAATGAGCATTAACATTCTGCAGGTCAAACTTGATTCACCTGTGGCTAACCCTCAACATGTTAGTGTTGACTCTCTTATTCTCATCCTAGATTTGATTGTGAGTGCTCAAGTACCACACGCATCTGTAATTCTGTGTCAGTAGCTACTGATAGCTGGGAGTTAACTGGAAGATAGAGTAACAACGTCTCCGTGCAATGCAAAAAAAATACTCGTTCCAGAAATCTGCAGTGCTGGGTAGTTTGCGTATTGGTGAGCAGGCAGACAGCATTACTGTTGGTTACAAAAGTAATTCCCGTACTTTCTGTGGAGGCAAAAATTCTGTGAAGGGTTTATGAGCAAGTGGATTAAATTCTGAAGGTACGTTTTGTCTCACTGATCTTTCGTTTTCTTTGATGATATGTGGATATCCTTCCCCACCTGCCTCTCACTGCCTTAGTAATGATTTTTGATAAATATATGTGATTTATTTATTAAATTTGTGAGTGGTTGTTATTTGTAACTTCTCAGTATCAGTATGATTGATCTTTGAAAAAAGTGAATCTGTAATATGCATAACCAGTGTGAGTGGTAGATTACATACAATGTACCTAAAGTGTAACTGTTTTTATAAAAGAATAAACATGTCATTTTGTTAAGGGACTACTTCTGTTTTGAACACTTAAGAGCTGTTACATGAAGTGTGGGCTTTTTGTCATTAAGAAACGATCACTGGATGTTTTATTTGTCAGGTGTCTGACTTCTTCAAGGAATGGAAAACATGCACTTTGAAATTAAATACTTTGTGACATTGTAACTAAGTGATTACACTGCTAGAAAGGAGTGCATTTTCTCTCCTGTTCCAAGTGCTAAGTGCAAGCTGTGGAGTTTCATTTTGTTAGCATGCTGAGTCTTCTTAGATCACGCTGGTTTAAATAATAAAGGATGTGTGCACCTCAGAGGAAATATGCCACATCTCCTGGGATTGATTTCCATCTCAGTTAACCAGTCAGAGACAAAGAGGTCAAGATTTTGATCCTGACAGCAGGAGCAGTCTTTAAGATTTTGTGGCTGAATGTGCTTGGGTGTTTGTATGACAAATCCATGTTACTCAGCCTGACAGAAAAAATCCTTAAAACAAGCATAATGGATATTGTTTCATAGAATATTTGAATAATGAGGAGTAAGAAAATAAATGAGGATGCATTCATGCATATGCTTGGAGCTTATATTTGTTTTATAAAGAGTGGATTATTATGTGTTATATTTGCCTCTATTATTTAAGTGCAGAAGATGGAGTTTTTTTGTAGGAACAATCATTTTCTTCAAAAGATTTTCTTCAAAAGACTTTCAAAAGGCTTCAAGAATAAAGGTAGTAGTAGAAGCTAAGAACATGTAATAAACTTGTAGAAGATGGTTCGTTATACCACAAAATTAGAATCAAAGACAACTATATAGAAGTGCCTTTTTCATTTATAGTTGGAGGAGAGCAGACTCACGGTTAAAATTGGTTTACGTAGAGTATCCAATTTCTATCAAAAGCCATGTAGACTGTTGTAATGCTGAAATTCAAGCGCTATTCCCCAGCTCAGTATTCAGTTGCATTCCTACAAATCAAGTATCTTCTGATCTCTGGTTATAATCTCTACCTCACTGAGTTAATTATTGTATTTATGTCCCCTTGTGTTGTCATAGCGTCTGGTCCCCATCCCCCTGTGTGCAAATTCTTCTCTTTGTATTTGGTGCCTGTCTCTTTAGGAGTTACCAAGTTAAAATTGATTGAGCAGAAGGTCTTTGATGCTTCGCCTTGTGTGAAACTTGTGGCAGAGCAACGTTCTTATCTTGGTTTAGGCCTTCTTACTTAACCCCCTACATCAGTTAAGTAATAAAAGCATTTGATTGTGATCATGATTGAGCTACTGTTCAGTGCAGCAGCTGGACTGCAGAACTCATTGCATGAGTGTTGAAGAATTACAGCTTAACCACGCACGTTGTGTTTGTGCCTGTTGGTATTGGCAGTGCGACAGAGATCTGTTTCTCAGGCGGTTCTTAATTTACAGTAATACTGGAGGGATAGCTGTATACTACAGCTACTTTAGCAAAGGCTATGAAAACTAGCAAGTGTGTAGTAGTTTACATAAGGACATTATGTAACAATAGTAGGATGAAAAGATTTGTTGGATCCCAGTATGACAACCCCTCTTGTGCCTTTGACAAGGCTGTCTGCTACAGCCTGTTGCTGTTGAATTGCAGTGAGCTGAAGCGAGCGCTTGTTTTCCTTCGCCTCTTTAAACTTGTGGAACTGTGGGGCATTGTGGAAGAGATTTTTTGCTTTAAAGGAAGTTGTATCTCCATGGTGTATAATGAAATAAAACAGAAGATATACTTGTTCATTCACAGTTTTCAAGTTTCCTTATACATTTTCAGTGTAAATTGCACTGACTATTTCAGTGGATAATTGTACCACTAGTTAAAATAATGATCTATGGATAGCTTAGTGCAAAAATAATTTTGTGTTTCACTGTAACAAATGAAGGCAAATGTCATTTGATCTTTAAGTCATTAAAAGTAAGTTTAAACAAACGGAAAGAGCTGGACATGGTTTGAAGAACTCTGGAAAAATTAACAGGCATGATCACAATCAATCTAGCTGAAGCCTTAGGATTTTTCTTTGAAATTTCGTGATGTTATCTGAATAGCACTCTACAGCTATTATGTGCTGGATCGGAACTGGGGAGGGTTCATGAGGTTTCTTGTTGCTGTCACCCCTTTCCACAGCTCCTTTCCCTCCCTGCCTTCGCTGTGTTTCCTGGCGCATATATGTTCTTTGGCAAAGTCATTTCCTCAAATAATGACGACTTTCCATAAAAGATGTTTTTAGCAAGTTCGAGAATCTGGGGATGAATACTTGCTTAACAAAACTATTTGTTTGTTTATTTAAGGTTGCTAATCTTGCTTGCTCATTGTCAACAAATGAAGATGGAACGAAAATTGTCCAAACAGCAGCTAATCACATAGAGACCTTGTGCCCACAGGTAGGACTTGTTCAATTAACTCCCATTACAGAGCCTTGAGCATTTACTGTGTGTTTGTCACACAACATAGATGTTTAGTCATGATCCTTCAGTCTAAATTGATGT